AATGAGCACTGAAATGCCCTTTGAGATGGAAAAAAATTTTACATGTCCCACTTGTAATTTTAAACAAAAACACAATAAAACAAAGCCAATCTGCATGTCCCCCTTTTGTCAAACCAAAATTGCATGTTCTGTGTTAATCAATCATTTTTTAACGGGTTTTAAAAATCTTTTCATTTTCACTCTATCAATTTTGCCACGGGTCTTTAAATTGGTTAGGGAAAAATCGTTGTAAACAATGTGTTATCTCTTTTGTAATGCCACCGTAAGCCATGATGCCATTGGCATTAAAACCTGCACCTCACCAGAAACGAGTCCCTAGTTAAACCCGGGGCTTATTATATAAAAAAAACGCACGTCCCACACACTCTGCCTTTGCCACCCCGAAGAAATCCCTTAGTAAAGGGCTTGTGTCCAGTTATCAGTATATAATGTATGCCCCTTGCCAAGATACGGTCCCATCATTTTCCCCACTAGTCACCTTAATACCCAAAAAACCTCCCCGGTATCTTTAAGTTTTATTCCCCCCTGTATACAATAATATCCCCAAAACCAGGCCAAATGTTCCCCAGTCACAGAGTACAAACAGTTTTATCCCCAAAACGTTTTCCCCTTCCGGTTATACTGCTTTTAAAGACATTCCCACCTTTGAAAAAAATTCAAAGGGCCGTCAAATTTCAAGATTCTTGAATGGAAAAAGTACATACGAACTTTTGTTTCAAATGCATAAAAAAATTTTTTAATCTTGTAAAACCCTTTTCATTTCTGTCAGGGCCCGGTTTTGTCGAGAAGGGCAAAAAACATAAAAATTAAGATAAAACCCGTTTTACTGGGTGATTTAAAGAAGGCTGGGGGGGGGGGGGGGGGGGGGGGAAAATTTTCGATCTTGGACATTTTTGAATTTTTTAAATTTTGCTTTAGGACATGAGACATAAGCATTTTTGTTGCAAAAAGCAAATACATTTTTAGCCACAGTTTTTTTTTCTTTTCCCCCGGTTTTAAATCTTGAAATTTGGGGATATGTTTGTTTTTTTTCTATTTTGACTCAAAATACTTTTTTCCCCTTTTCCCCGACAATAATTTCCATCAAGGGTGGCAAAGAATAGTTTAAAGAATTCCAGTTTATATGCAGTGTTTCCAAGGGAAAAAAGTCTTGTAGGATTCCCCCTTTGAAGGGCATTTAAAATTTAAAGGGGGGTTAGGAACAAATTTGGGGTTTTACTGCCAAAACCCAGATGTTTGGGTTTTCTGGTTTGGAAAACTGGAAAATTATTAAATTGGTTTGGTTGTAGTTGTGTGTGGGGATGGATATGCTCCGCTTTTGGGCCCTTTAGCTGAGTATCCCGGCCCTGGGTCCCGCCTGGGGGGTTTGGGGTTTATCATTTGGGGTGTGGGACCACTACCACTAAACACCAACCCCAAAACCACCACCTACTGTGGGCCCGTGGTCTACCCTGCCAAAATGTAGCCACACATCCTCACTTTTAAATGGCTATTTTCCCGGGGTTTGGGCCCTGGGGTGTTTCTTGGGGGTGTACTCCGTCCCCTGGGGACTGCATAGGGAAAAAAAACTACCCCAGCGCATGCAGCAGCAAATATACCCCGCTTCACTGGTGAATATGATTTAATCATTTCACTCTCGAATGATCATCGAGAGCAATAAAATCAAAAGTCCCCCTCAATTTTATCATTATACTGAGGTCTGAGGCCCGGCCACGAAAAAAAATTAGTTTTCTCCTCAACAGGAAAACTGAACGTGACTGGATAAAACCCACACAGAGGTAGAAGGTTGAGGATCATCGGATTTTCTGCAATATTTTTTATATCCTGGTTTATTTCTTTCGGTTTACCACTCCATCAAAACCAAAAAGAATTTTAAATTTTTTTCCCTTCCCTCAGTGTCAGAAACTATCATTTTTGAAGAGGAGAATTTTCCCCAATTTTTTCCCCGGGGTGAGGGGCTTTCCCTTTCACTGATGCATGGTGGAAACCCAAAGCTTACTGGGTGGTGTTTCCCAATAGCCCTGTGAGCCCCCAGAATTTTTGTTTACGGCCAAACCAAAACACACCACGCAGACCCATTCTCTCAGAAGTGGTCACCAGCCTTCTTTCGCTAAATCTGACGCTGTTAGAATTTTTTACATAGCTAGGGTTTTGGGCCCCCCAACATAAAAAACCCTTTGTTTTACGGCACGGGCCGGAAAGGATTTTAAATTTTTTGAGTAGTAGGTTGCCCGTACCCCTTACAGTTTAGACTTGGGAGGGTTTTGTTTTGGCTGTATATGCAGGTAAGGCAAAATGTGTCCCGTTTTTTGTCCCCATTCAAGCCAAAGGGTTTTAAAAGGAGGGACCTTTAGGGTCAATTTCAAGATAATTCCAGTCAAAGAAACCAAAACAAAATCTCTCTAATTTTAATTTTTAACCCCCCAAATTTTAACAAAAACCAGGAAAAGAATAAAGGCCCTAAAAATTTATCCGAGAAAAAACTTAAAATCACTATTTTAAATCATATAAAAAAGGTTTCCCGTTTTTGGTTTTTTTCCTTTTTGCCAACCACATGAAGCAGGTTATTTTTACAGTGCACACTCATTGCACAGACTCCCTTTCTTTATAAACTAGGGCCCAAAAATTTTGCTTATTTGTTTTTTTTTGGTTTAGCTGAACTCATTACACAGATCAAAACGGGGGTCCCAGGTCCCCAAAAGAAATTTGTTTACGTGCCCTGGCCATGGCCCCTGACCATGGCGTAAAAGCGCACAAAATGCGGGTAAAGGGAAAAAAACTGGAAAAATCGGGGCATGGTTTTTATAATTTTCCCCCTAACAGAACAAAAGAGAGTAGTCCCCAAAAAGAGTTTAAAATCCGAGGCAGCTCCGGGTTTTAAAAGCTCTGTTCCACAAGGCACGTATCTCTCCCATCTTGTTCCCCATCCTTTTCCGAAATAGACAAGGATGTCAGCCACAAACACCGTGTCTTTTCCCTTTTCAAGTGCACCCGAAACTGTGACAGTGTCTTCCCTTTCGACCTGAAAAGGGTCCCCGGCGGACAACAAACCCAAAACTTTCAGTGGGCGCAGAAAACAATATGAAGTTCAAAAGATGAGAAATTTTTAATTTTCTCAAAATAGGTAAACCCCCCCAAAAAAATTAAAAAATTTACAGAATACAAAAAAAAATTTTTGGCCACAAAAAAGAGCGAAAAAACCAACGTCAAAGACCGGGGTGATCATGTCGGGGGTATCTACCCTTTAAAGGCCAAAAACATTTTTATCCCAAACCCCTCTTTAGAAAAAAGGGCAGGATGGATAAGAGAACCTTTAAAAAATAGGGAGGGGGCCCAAACCATGATGCACTCCCTTTAAAGGGCACTTGTTCCCATCTGGCTGGAATATTTCTGCACAAAACAGCAAATTTCAAGGCAGGTGAAATTGCGGACAGAAAATGTACAGAGAACCTTCACAGCGCGCATAACGGAGATAAAACACCTCAATTACTGGGAGCGCTTGAGGTTCCTAAACCTGTATTCCCTGGAACGCAGGTGGGAGAGATACATGATTATATACACCTGGAAAATCCTAGAGGAACTAGTACCGAACTTGCACACGAAAATCACTCACTACGAAAGCAAAAGACTTGGCAGACGATGCAACATCCCCCCAATGAAAAGCAGGGGTGTCACTAGCACGTTAAGAGACCATACAATAAGTGTCAGGGGCCCGAGACTGTTCAACTGCCTCCCAGCATACATAAGGGGGATTACCAACAGACCCCTGGCAGTCTTCAAGCTGGCACTGGACAAGCACCTAAAGTCGGTTCCTGACCAGCCGGGCTGTGGCTCGTACGTTGGTTTGTGTGCAGCCAGCAGCAACAGCCTGGTTGATCAGGCTCTGATCCACCAGGAGGCCTGGTCACAGACCGGGCTGCGGGGGCGTTGACCCCCGGAGCTCTCTCCAGGTAAACTCCAGATGGACAGTGAATGGGTTCAGTGTTATGATCAAGATATCAATTAGCAACATAACTAAACATGATCCTCCAACTGGATCAACTTCATGTACAAGTGCAGTGTTCACATGATCCTCCAGCTGGATCAACCTCACATACAGCCACCCCCCCCTCCCACACACGTCATAAACCTATATCGTGTAACAATCAACTACAGTATACACTGGTAGATCATCTCAGTAAATTTTACTAAGGGCAAGTACTTGTAGAGAGAAATATATTTAAATTATTAGTTATCACAAAATGAGATAATGAAAATGCAATTTCATTAAGAAGAAAAATACTTACAGTCAAGCCTTTAATTAACAGACCTCCACTCAATGGGATTCGGAAATAACAAAAAAAGAAAAAAAAAATTGCCTGAACAAATGTTGGAATCATTGGAAAAATGGAAAAAATCTGTAATTTCCTGATTCTGCCAATAGCGACTGTGTCCAGTTTTCTTCTGAATTATCAGACTAAGTTCAATGATTCAGATGACTGTTTTGGAACAGGCCAGAGTGTCCACATCCAGGATGTCGGTTTTCACTGACGCATGAGCCATAGGCTGCCCACGACACTTTACTAGTTGTGCTCACTCACTTATACACTCGCTATTCAGAGTCTAATTTTCCTTGGATTTAGAGTGTTCTGTGGGACTTTATCAACATGTAAACTACAATTAACAATATCATCTAAAGCAAGTGGTGGTGGGTGGTGCTATGAGGAAATGTGTGGTTCTCAGTGTTAAAGTAAAAACTTGAATTAATAAAGAAGGTAGAGTGAGTCATCTTGTAGTACTAGTGGTTACAATAACTGTATTATTATTATCCAGCAGTTTTCTGAATCAGTGGACCAACTCCGCTGATTCAGAACTTCATCCGTCTACGTTACGACTGTGAAAAATTAATTTCGTAATTCAGAATCTATGGACAATCAGCAATAATAAGCACTCCACTCCCCACATTAATCTGTTAATTAGAGGTTTAACTGTACAATTTCACTATGAAGAAAAACACTTACAATTTCATTATGAAGAAACTGTCTATCGATGTTATCATTAATATTAAAGATGGTGACTTCTAAAGGTGGAGGTGGGCCAACATAATCCGAGTCAATCTGAAATTATAAAGGTTACATATTATTAATAACAGACAAAAACACAAATAGAAACATGACATGATGAGCATGTACACACACACACACATGCACACACAAAACCTCACTCCTACTCACCTAAGGAAACATGTTAAGGAACTTCAGAAAGTGCAGAAGTATGCAGCGAGACCAGTTCTAGACCTAAGAGAAATAAGCTACAAGGAAAGACTAACTAAAGGAATTTAATCTAATGATGCTGGAAAACAGAAGGACCACAGAAGACATGATAAAAACATACAAAATACTCAGAGCAACTGATAAGGCATACAAGGGAAGAATGTTTGAGAGGTGGGAAACAGGTACTCAGGGGGCAGAGCTTGAAACTAAACACATATATGAGTCACAGGAATGTCAGGAACTATTTCATCAGTCTCAGGGTGGTCAAGAAGTGGAATAACATCAATGAGATAGTGGTGGAGGCATACTTCATATATAGTTTTTAAAATAGGTATGATATGGCCTATGAGGCCAGGAGAGAATGACTCTGGCAAGCAGAAAGCTGAAAGGCAAGGCCAAGAAATAAGACACGACTCCTGCAACAACATAAAGGTGCATACACACACACTGGAAACAGTGGGTGACTATTAAAGTTTGCAAAAGGTTCTACTTTCTTTCAACAAACTGACCGTATCCCACTGAGGCAGGGTGGCACAAAAAGAAAAATATAAGTTTCTCTTTTTAAATTTAGTAATTTATACAGGAGAATGGGTTACTAGCCCCTTGCTCCCGGCATTTTAGTCGCCTCTTACAACAAGCATGGGTTACGGAGGACGAATTCTGTTCCACTTCCCCATGGAGATAAGAGGATGTAAACAAGAACAAGAACTAGAAAGAAAATAGAAAAAACCCAGAGGGGTGTGTATATACAGGTACCATCTGACTTACGACCGAGTTCGGTTCCAAGAAACCGGTTGTAAGTCGAAATGGACGTAAGTCGAACTTTACTACTGAATATCAACATCACATTTTTGTAATGACTATTTTATTGTTTTGTTTTGGTATTTCATGTTATACTTTACTTTTTATGCTGTTAGTACTGCATTTTATACTGTAAGGTTTAGGATAAACACTGTGTACAACACAAACACTTGTTTATTTCCCAGAAATTTGGTGTAAAAAACACGGTCGTAAGTTGAGTGGTCATATGTCGAGCAGGTTGTAAGTCGGATGGTAGGTGTATATTCTTGTACATGTATGTGTAGTGTGACCGAAGTGTAAGTAGAAGTAGCAAGATGTACCTGAAATCTTGCATGTTTATGAGACAGAAAAAAAGGACACCAGCAATCCTACCATCATGTAAAACAATTACAGGCTTTTGTTTTACAGTTCACTTGGCAGAGACCAGGTAGTACCTCCTGGGCGGTTGCTGTTCATACCAACCTATACCTAGATTGTCAAAAGGTTGTACAGGTCAAAAATACATATATGGAAGAGATTGGTAGCAACTGAGGGCAAGATGATTTGTAAAGACACCAGAGAAACAACATGGCAGTAATTTAGAACAAGTAAAACCGTTTATATTACACAGATTTATTTGCCCACGTTTGTTATTCACTTTACTGAAAAATTGCGCACAATTTTATACCACACATCGTTAAAATTAACTTTCCACAGTTCTGTTTGCGGCGCGCGGAAAAAAATTTCCCCAGCTCAAGCTGCGTCTTGTTGTGGGGCAGTGGGGGAGAGGAGACCTCCCACCATCTCCTGCCGCCCCGACAGACTCTGCCTATCACCATCCGACAACCATCGTGAATACTGTTCCAGTTATATTCTGTCTTAGGAGTAGCTGTGTTTGTGACTGTGTTTTGATCTTTTAATTACAGATCTCGTATCTGCCAAGAATATGGCACCCAGTAGGCCATACCAGTGTTGCTGAAAAGTGGCAAGAAAATGGGTATGCATTTTAAGTCTAGGTTAACGATAGAAAATAGAGATAAGTGGACCCCCCGGTTAACGATTTTAATCCGTGCAAAGAGGGTCATCAGTTATGCGAATAAATAATCGTTATGCGAGAATGTAATTTTCCCCATATAGAAATAATGGAAATAAAATTAATTCGTGCAAGAGCGCCAACAAGTATCGGAAAAAATTTTTTTATAGCCACATGAAATGATATTTTTTAATATCGATCACAAATACTGAAAAAGGCCATGCACAATTAATGACACTTTCTTTTATTGAAGATTGGTGATGATTTGATGGGATGGGAGGTGGGGGGGTGAGCATTGATCTTCTTACTGTTTAGATGGGGAATTCCCTTCCATTAGGGACTTGAGTAGGTTGCTAGTCCTGTTCTGGGGTTACTTCCCTTCGTCTTTTACATGCCACTAGGACCTGCTTGAGAGTCACTGGATCTCTGTGCACAACAAATCTGTCCAATAGAGCTCTGTACCTCCCGTTCCTTTCAAGACTTTCCTAAAATGGGGCCATAAACATTGTCATTGAAATTGTCACAGGCACGGCTTGCAACAGCGGTGTCAGGGTGATTTTCAATCTATAAAGGTTTGCAGTTCAACCACACTCTGCACCATTGCCGTAATCTTTGAAGTAGGCACAATGGATTCCAAACTGGCATAGGTTTCTCAGGGGTTAGCCCAAACCTTCAAAATCTTTCTTTATTTTCCATACCTAATTCTCTCCCTTTTTACCACCGGGTTGGCCACTAGAAAGCTTTTTTCTTGGGGCGCCCATGGTCAACTTATTTTCTGAAACAGCACGAAAAACACTGTAATTAATACGAAAATTATTCCGAGGTGATGCTAGGAATGGTTACCGCGGAGGCTGGTGGGTAAACAATGGAAGGCCGGCACAGGTGAGGGCACATTGGACGCTGGTTTCGGACGGAAATCGGTTGGTAAGCGGGTTTTTATCGGTACTGCGCGGCCCAAAAATTTGCGATAATGTAATCGTTATGCGGAAAAATCGCTTGCTAGATGCCATCGTTATCGCGGGGGTCCACTGTATTAGACAAGAGATAGATTGTGGCCATAATGAGCAATCCTGGCTGCATTCAAAAGAATGAGTGTAACAGTGTGAAGTTTGTGTGATGGATTAACTGACTGAGACTGGTTTGACTGATTTACATGACTGGACTGTTGATATGAATGACTGAATGACTTAAATATTAGGAATTTTCACTGAAGAGGATATCCTGAAACGGTGGCTTGCCCTTTCTAGGGTCGAGGGCCCTCTCGGAATCTCATTCTCAGGGAGTGAAAAAATTCGAAAAAGCAACAAATTCTTATGAAATGAATAGAGTATATTTTTGCGAGTGTTATAGGCCTCAAAAAAAAAAAAAAAATGCAATCAATACTTGCCGAGTATGGAAGGCGCTTGAAGTGACAGAAAATTGAGCCACCTTATGGCTCAACACAGCTGGCTGCCCCAGTCATGCAGTAATAGTTTTTTTTTCTACCTTTTTTTTCTTTTATTTTTGTAAACATTTATTTTTTTCAAGTAACATTTATGGCCTGGTGAGACCAATACTAAAGCCATATTTTGGATATACACACTCCTGTATGTACATCAATAACTGCACTAAACAATTGACAGGTGAACTCATTTTCACTATTTTTGTGCTAATACTATTGTGTAGCAATAATATACATAGTATTTATAGGTCCCAACATTGTTTTGGAAACACAGGAGTATAAAATAATAATATATAATTAATAATAATTAATAATAATATTAATATAATACTAATAATTATTGGAAGCATGGGTGTAGACTAGTGTCACTCACTGCATGACAGGTCAGCAGTGGGAGAGACTTTGATGAGTCTGCATGCCTTAGGCTTTGTTTTACTGTTACCATAAACATGGTCTGTCTGTTAAGTGTCAGTCTGTTAGCTCTGTCTTGCTCTCTGTCTGTTTAGACTCTCTGTGTTCTCTGTCAATCTGTTGTCTAGCTCTCTGTCCTGCCTCACATTTTGAGTTCTGTACACGTCATTATTTGCAGTCATGGTTACAAGCACTGTAAGCACTTTGTCCTGGATTTTTTTTGGGGTAATCCAAGGTATTTACACTATGCATAATTGTATTATGTGTACCTGTGAGACAGAGATAGCCAATGGCCAGCCCAGCAGCAACCAGCACAGCCAGCCGACCTGCCAGCCAGCGACCAGCCAGCCAGCCGAGCCAGCCGACCAGCCAGCCAGCCGACAGCAGCCAGCCGGACCAGCCAGCAGCCAGCCGACAGCAGCCAGCGACTAGCCAGCTGACCAGACCAACCGATAGCTAGCCGACCAGCCAACCGACTACTAAGCTGACCAGCAGCCAGCCCGACCAGCAGCCGACCAGCCAGGCCAGCCAGGCCCAACCAGCAGCAAGCCCAGCCGCCTACCAGCCAGGCAAGCCAGCTGACCAGCCAGCCAGCAACCATGCTCCCTTTCTCACCACCCACACTGCCTTCCTCACCCCACACTGCCTTCCCCACCCAAACTGCATGCCTTCAATACCACCCACATGCAAATAAGTCACTCAGATTCTTTTTGGTGGAAGGTGCAAGGTTGATAATGGTTTGGGTTTTGCATCAGTATTTTGTTGGTTACAGTTAGGGCCCCCACTTATATGGCAGGTTAGGTTCCAGAGCTACTGCCGTAAAGTGGAAACCTTTTTTTTCCACTTATAAATGCCATACAAGGTTTACACTAATATATACTAAGTTAGCAATAGAAACAAGGCATCAAAAAACCATAAAAAAAGTACAATACACACAGAGTGCACTCATTACTTACCTTAAAATATTAATAGTCTGAATCTAGGACGACGAGACAGTAGTATTTTATTGTAAGATAATCAAGTGTTGGTTTTGTATGGTCGCAGCCAGGCTACCATACCAGGGCCAACCCACCAACATACTATTCTATGGTGGTATGTCTAAGCATCAGAGCGATAAAATGTATATTTACAGTTCATCATATTACTTACCTTAAAAACATTGTAGTCTTAATGTAGGAGTCAGGAGTAAGTAATGAGTAAAACGAAATTAATGAGCAGAGAGAATGATGAGTACATGAGAGGGGGACAGGCGCAGAGTTAGGTAATCAACAAAACCAGGCAAAGTAAGTTTTAGTAAACTAACAGTGTACCATCTGGTTTGTGTACAAAGTTACATTGTGTACAGGTTGTCTCATACATGTTACGGTAGAATAAATAAAGAAGAACACTCCCATTCTCATGTAACATCATTTGAGTAAGAAATGATGCTCTGAGTGATGGCAATGGAAATAAGTCACATCGACTTTTTTGGGGTATCCTAGGTCTCTACACATATGTTGTTATGTATGATTTCTTATGTAAAACAAAAAAAATAAACTGTATTTGTGTATACCTGAATAAAACTTACTTACATACATACGAAAGGATTATTTTCTACCGTTACCCCACAGTAACACATTTTCTCTTATGTTAGATTAGGAGAAAAGTTATTCTTGCATCACTTGTACAAGTTTATCTGGGCGACATCTCATATTTATTTATTTATTTATTTATTAACATATGTTGAGCATACATACAGAGGTACAAAATAATTTACGTAGATA